AGTGAACCGTATAGGTTGAAATTTTCTGGCCGGGCTGCCCCAAAAAAAAATTGGCGAGCGTATAGCGAATTCGATAGCGTTTAGCGTTTTGCGTATACACGCTAGCGTGTATACGCTAAACGCAAACAGGTTTGAGCGTATATTCCCACTTAGCCTTGATTTGTGCCGGCCCTGCCCTGGCTCAGCCCTTGATCGTACCTAACTTGTGCTACTACAATAGCTTTTGTTGCACACTCTACGAAGGTTTCTGACAAAGAAAAACAATACAATGGATTATTTACAGGAATGTAAGAGCAGTGAGCTTTGTGATTGCAGAGGGCAAAGATCCTGAGAGCAAGTTGGAGTTGAGAGAGCTGTGGTGATGATGTGGCAGGTGGACGCACGGAAAGAAAGTATGAGTTCATTGGCGTGTTTGCAGGACACGATAGGGAAGGGAATGGGGCCAGTGACGAGAAGGAAATGTAGAGGTCAAAAAGGTGACCAATTCAGAGAGAGACGAGATAGTAGGTTGGGGGGGAGGGATCACACATTATCAAAGGCTTGCTACGACGGACGAGCCACGGGCCGAGTCAGCCCGGCCCGTCGAGTGGAGACTCCAGCTTGGCTTGTCAGCCCACCGGCTTTCCATGGCCCAAAAACGAGCCAGCTTAGCCCAGTCTTATGCTCGTGTGGCAGAAAGGAGCCTTACAGGGATGCCAGAGATAGTAGAGAGCCAATCTCCACAGGAATTGAACCCGTGAGCTGATTACTCCCGAGGGACCTGCCATTGCGTACGAATGCAAGAAGGAAGAACCAGACCAGCACTCTAGGATGATGATGCACCAGTATGCGAAGTGGGATGCTGCTGGTGGGCTTTTTGAAGGAAAATGTTTCATGAAACTAGGGCAGTAAGAAGAACAGAGAGATCGTGGGGCTAACCAAAGTAAGGAGAATTCAACTGAGCACCACATTTGAAGCACAGCAACCCATCCATTCAAAACAATGGAAAAAGGGGGCACTCCACGAATGACTTCATTGCATGGACACACGTATGTATCAAAGTCACCCCCTTGTGTTCTTAGCTCGCGCTCATCATGAGAAAAGCTCTCCTGTGAGAGGAAATTGACAGCGCTAGACAAGAGGGCAACTGACAGGCGAGAAACTTGGGTGAGTGTGCTGATGGTAGCAGGAATGCTGCCAGACAGCTGGTTGCTTGAAACATCTCTGAGTGGAAAAAGAATGCCAAAAATATAAGTATCACTGAGGTTATGGCGTCTAGACACTAGACGCAGGACGCTCCCTGCGTCTTCTGCAACTTAGACTCGGGATACCAGAGAAGACAAGACAGAAGAGAGGCGGGACAGCAATGAGGTTGGGGAAGACCATACAAAGGGTGAATAGCAAAAGAAGATGGTCGTCCCTTGGAGACGGACGAGATGAGATAGGCTGGTGAAGAGAATGCATCCATAGAGAAATGAAGGGAAAGAGGGAGAGCAAAGAAAGTGAGGTATACTGAACAGCGTGGGGAAAGATTCTTGGGAGCGCACAGGAGATGAGAGAAGAACAACAAAAGCGTAACTTCTTACATGCTTCTCAACTTGGTGAGGACGCCAGTGTCATCCGGGATGGAGCCATTGAGCTGGTTGGAGGCAAGTGACCTGTCCCAATCAGGGTGTTCAATCAAGGCATGAGCAAAATCCGTGTCGTGTGCCTTAAGACTTGAAGGCTTGAAGAGCGCGGTTCTGAAACTCTCCACCCCTATCTGGTGCGCAAGTAGTTTTGGTTCGGTTATTGCTCTGAGAGCAAGTTGGAGTTGAGAGAGCTGTGGTGGTGATGTGGCGGGTGGACGCACGGAAAGAAAATATGAGTTCATTGGCGTGTTTGCAGGACACGATAGGGAAGGGAATGGGGCCAGTGACGAGAAGGAAATGTAGAGGTCAAAAAGGTGACCAATTCGAGAGAGACGAGATAGTAGGTTGGGGGGGGGGGGGGGGGATCACACATTATCAAAGGCTTGCTACGACGGACGAGCCACGGGCCGAGTCAGCCCGGCCCGTCGAGTATACATGGGCAAAAGACGAGTCGAGTTTTACTCGACTCGTTTTGACGAGCTTTTTTTCACACACGAGTCGAGTCGAGGAAAACTCGCCAAGTTTTTTGTGCCACAAAGCAAACTCGAAACTCGACCATATTACCGAGTTTTTTCAACACTCGGACGAGTTCAAAGAAAACTCGTCCGAGTCAAGTAAAACTCGACTCGTTAAACACCCCCCTTACCCACCACGCCACGAAACCAGTTTAGTGAAAGGAAATGCCGCGCGGATCTAGCGGCGGAATGCTAGGTGCGGGCAGATATGGCGGCGGAATGCTAGGTGCGGGCGGATCTAGCGGCGGAATGCTATGTGCCGGCGGATCTGGCGGCGGAATGCTATGTGCGTTCAGATCTGGCGGCGGAGTGCTAGGTGCGGGCGGATCTAGCGGCGGAATGCTATGTGCGGGCGGATCGGGCGGCGGAATACTAGGTGCGGCCGGATCTGGCGGCGGAATGCTAGGGGCGGCCGGATCTGGCGGCGGAATGCTAGGTGCGGGCGGATCTAGCAGCGGAATGCTAGGCGCGGGCGGATCTGGTGGCAAAATGCTCACAAGCCCCAAAAACTTGCGAGTTCTGAAAAAACTTGCTTGGTAGCCAAGTTTTTCACGAGTTTTTTTAACTCGCGAGCAAAACTCGACTCGAGCATCCAAGTTTTTTTTACAAAAAAACAAACTCGAAACTCGAGCCTTTCGAGTCCCTCGAACGAGTCGAGGAAAAACTCGACTCGTTTGCCCATGTATACCGTCGAGTGGAGACTCCGGCTTGGCTTGTCAGCCCACCGGCTTTCCATGGCCCAAAAACGAGCCAGCTTAGCCCAGTCTTATGCTCGTGTGGCAGAAAGGAGCCTTACAGGGATGCCAGAGATAGTAGAGAGCCAATCTCCACAGGAATTGAACCCGTGAGCTGATTACTCCCGAGGGACCTGCCATTGCGTACGAATGCAAGAAGGAAGAACCAGACCAGCACTCTAGGATGATGATGCACCAGTATGCGAAGTGGGATGCTGCTGGTGGGCTTTTTGAAGGAAAATGTTTCATGAAACTAGGGCAGTAAGAAGAACAGAGAGATCGTGGGGCTAACCAAAGTAAGGAGAATTCAACTGAGCACCACATTTGAAGTACAGCAACCCATCCATTCAAAACAATGGAAAAAGGGGGTTCAACTCTTATCGGCAGTGGGTACCTTTGGTCTTAGTGGTCGCGGGTTCAACTCTCATCGGCAGCACCTTCTCTTCTCATTATGCCGAACATGACACTCCCACACTCCACCACACTCACCCACAGTGAAGTGTGGAAGCAAGAATGTCCCAATGGGTACCTTTGGTCTTAGTGGTCGCGGGTTCAACTCTCATCGGCAGCACCTTCTCTTCTCATTATGCCGAACATGACACTCCCACACTCCACCACACTCACCCACAGTGAAGTGTGGTCACAGTTGGCATTGCCATCTGTCCACCCATCCCATACTCACCTTGTTGGCTCCTATGGTGTGCCACATGCTGCCATGTAGGCTGTTGTTCCAGCCTGGCCCACATGTGCAACATGTGGCCTCAATTGCTAGCTTGGCAAGGTTGGCTAGCCCTGCCCTCAGCTTTGAGGTGCTGCAGCTAGCCTCAAGAGTTCAGCCACATAAATGTGGCTTCCCACTTCTCTAGAACTCATCCTTGGAAAGGACATTGCTCTAGCCTTTCAGGCTTGTACCATCTTCCTACTAAGGATATATTGTTCTTCTCTCATTGTGCCTCAAGTTCACCGATCCTCATTCTACATGCTATCAGAGCAAGGCTTCTAGCTTAGTGAACGTTGCACACTTCATGGCTCAAGTTGAAACGCCTCTCGGTCGGCACACCCTTCCCATCTTGGAACCAGATGGTTCCAACTTCATTCCATGGAAGAAAAAGATCTGCTACATCTTCAATGTCCTCGGGCTGATCTCCCTCCTTGGAGATCCCAAGGTTGCTTCGCGTCCTTCAATCTCCTCTTCCACAACCAGCGGTGGAGAGACTACCGAAGGCAACAGCGGTGCAGCCCCTAAGACAGCCCATTCGATTGCTTCGCTGCCGGATGAAGAAAAAGAGGAGCATGCATACTATCTTCTCATGTCAGCCGTCCATCCTCAACTATCGCTCACTCTTGCTCAAGCCAACACGACAAAGGATATGTGGGGATGCATCATGGCGCGGTTCGACTGCATGGGCAACCATGCACAAGTGGCTCTCCTCCGGGATCTCATCACTACACGGATGGACCCAACAACAAGTCTTCGCTCCTACTTTGATCGAGTTGGAAACCTTACACACCAACTCAAATCTGCCGGCTTTGAGCTACCATCATGGGTGGTGGTAATCTCCATCATCCTCAACCTTCCGGACTCGTTCAAGACCCTTACTGAAACCATTTGCACCGTGAAAGACATAAAGTCTATGACGGTTGAATACCTACAGTCACGCCTACTCGATGCCGATTGGGAGCGGTCACAATCTGGTACAAGCCGTAACATGGAGGGTGCATACAACCTCAATTCCCAGCCCTCCCACCCTCTTCGCTCCGGTTCACGCCAGTCGCCCACCTGCCGTTACTGCAAGAAAACGGGTCACACCATCGATGAATGCTTCAAATTGAAGAAGAAGAAAGAGCTTGAAGAAAGCTCTAAACGGGAGAAATCCGTCTTCCAACCCTCGGTGCATGTCTCCACCAGCTCCTCTGCTGAAGCTACTCCGACCCCCACACCACCTCCTGCCCCATCAACCCCTCAGTCCGTACCTGATTCCCGGTACGTGGACATTGCTGTCAGCACCAGCCACCACCCCATCTTCTCCACATGGACTCCTCTCGTCGCTGCTGTCTTCATTCTCACCATCCTCCTTCTCCTCCTCCTCTTCCCTTATGGGGCTCCCTACGCATCGGCATTCACGGCCTCCTCATTCAATATGGAGCGGACTTCGTCGTGGCTGGTGGACAGCGGCGCATCCTCCCATATCTGCTCGGATCGTTCGCTGTTTTCGTCTCTCAAGAAGCCCAACGAAGAGATCCTTGTTCGTTTTGGTGGAGGAGAAACTTACAAGGTCTTGGGAGTCGGCACGGTGGTGGCTACTCTTCGGTCACCAACATCGGAAACCACCATTCAGCTTGACAACGTTCTATTTCTCCCTTCATCAGTTCACAACCTGCTCTCTGTTCGTGCGCTTGGTGCTGCCGGCGTTGCCGTCTCGTTCCCCGCTGCTGGGCGCGTTGTTCTCACATCTGATGACGTTCCTATTGGCGAGGGCTACACCCGCAACAATCTGTTTTATCTTCAACTGCATCATGGGAGCAGTGCTGCTCCTTCTATCAAGCCAACTGCATGTCCAGCCTCCACCACCACCTCCTCGTACCTCTGGCATCGTCGTTTCGGGCATCTCAACATGCAGGCCTTGTCAACACTTCATCGGCAGCAGCTGGTCACCGGTCTTCACCTCTCCTCCACCTCGATTCCCCCCTGCATCTCGTGCTATCGTGGGAAACAAACACGTCAGCCATTTGGCGTGTCCCATTCTCGCACCACAGCCCCACTCCAACTCATTCACTCAGATATTGCTGGACCGCTTTCATATGGAACTACCATTGGCGGCGCTCGCTACCTTCTCACCTTCATCGACGACTACTCCCGCCACATTACAGTGTATCTCCTACGCCACCGGTCGGAGGCACTTTCATGCTTCAAGGCTTACGTCACTCGGGTGCACAACATGCATTCCCCACACACCATCAAAGCCTTTCGCTCTGACGGTGCCTTGGAGTTCACTTCCAAAGCCTTCACTTCATTCCTTACAGCTCATGGCATCGCCCGCCACCTCTCCACGCCATACACACCTGAGCAAAATGGAGTAGCTGAGCGGGCCAACCGGACTTTACTTGAGATGGTCTGTTCCATGCTCCATGATGCACACATGGACAAAGGCTGGTGGGGTGAAGCCGCTCTTACTGCTGCCTATCTTCGTAATCATGCCATTAGTCGGGGTGGTTCAACTTCTAAGACTCCCATGGAACTATGGACCGGTGCACGTCCGGATGTATCACACCTCCGCATCTTCGGTTCACCCGTCTCGGTCCTCATTCCTTCCCAACGGCGTTCTAAGCTCGACGACCGAAGCACGGCCGGCATCATGGTTGGATATGGTCATCTCGACGGCACCAAAGCTTACCGCATCTATATCCCATCTCAGCACCGTGTCATCCTTTCTCGTGATGTCATCTTCATGGAGCCCTCTGCACCGCCTTCCGACGACTCTCGCGACCCTCCATCGTCATCTCCACCCACATCCTCCTCACTACCTCCTCCTACACACCCTTCTTCCTTGGACCCAATCTCCCCTCCCTCTCCTTCCCCCACCATACCTTCCTCCACCAACCCCCACCCACAATCCCCAAACCTGCCCGCACCAGCCACATCTTCTCTTCCTCCATTGTTTTCCAACCTTCCTCTGCCCTCGACGCCGCAAGACTTTCACCTTCCATCCTTCTCTCCTCCCTCTTCGCCTCCCCCTCCCCATTGCACGACTCGCTCCTCCCCGCCATCCCCTTCAGCTCTTCCCGATCCTTCCCTTTTCTCCTTCCTCAAGGTCTTACCATCCCCTTCCGAACCCATTGACTTCACTCTTCCTCCTCTTTCCAACACCTCTGCCAATGCTGCCCTTCACCATCATTACGAACCTCAAACCATTCATGAGGCTCGTACCGGCCCTGATGCTGCCGAATGGATCAAGGCTGCTGATGCGGAACTCGCTGCCCTGCACGCTAATGACACCTACAGCATTGTTCCTCGACCACCCAAGTGCAAGCCGATTCCATGCAAATGGATTTTCAAGGTCAAGGAGAACGCTGATGGTTCTATTGAACGCCGCAAAGCCCGCCTTGTTGTCAAAGGCTTCAAGCAACGTGATGGTGTTGATTTTCATGACACCTTTGCTCCTACCGTCCGCTTCGCCACCCTCCGCTTGTTTCTCACCATAGCTGCCGCTTTCAACCTGGACGTCCATCAGCTGGACATCTCCAACGCCTTCCTCAACGGCACCCTTGATGAGATTCTCTACATGATGCAGCCTCCCGGTTATGACCTTCCGGCGGTCCATGGTGTTGAGCAAGTTTGTCTCTTGCACAAACCGCTGTACGGGTTGAAGCAAGCTCCGCGATGCTGGTACCGCAAGCTTCGTGAGGAGCTTGCTGCCTTTCACCTCTTTGCTGCTCGTGCGGACCCCGGCCTCTTCATTGCTCCTCCTCACTCACCTTATCGGCCTACAGCTGCATCCTTCTTCATGCTTCTCGTCTATGTTGACGACCTCATCATTCTCTCCTCCTCCTCCTCTCTTCTTGCCTCATTCAAGCATGCCCTTTCATCTCGCTTCAAACTTCGTGACCTCGGACCTCTCTCCTACTACCTTGGCTTTCACATCACTCGTGATCGAACTTCCCGCACTCTCCACCTTCATCAATCCAAATTCATCACCTCCATTCTAGACACCTACTCCTTCTCTCCACTGAACCCCGCTGCCACTCCCATGGACACAAAGTTTCAGCCACCCGTGACTTCCTCCCCGCACTCCTCCTCCTTCCCTTACACCTCGTTTGTCGGCTCCATCATGTATGCCATGGTGGGGACCCGTCCCGACCTCGCATATAGCGCTGGAGTTCTTGCTCGTCACCTTCACGATTGGTCTACTCCTCACGTCTCGGCTGCCAAACGCATTGCTCGCTACTTGAAAGGGACTACCTCCCTTGGGCTTCTCCTTGGTGGCATTCCCGACACCCTCGAACTTCATGGCTGGTGTGACGCCTCTTGGGGACCGGAGGGGGAGCTGCGTCGCTCCGTTACGTGCTACTTGTTCTTCCTCGGTCCGTCACTCATCTCTTGGCAGTCCAAACGCCAAGCCGTCGTTGCTACCTCTTCATGTGAAGCTGAATATTACTCTCTGGGCGCCGCGGTGCACGAGGCATTATGGCTTCGTTCGCTCCTTACTGCAGTTGGACTTCCCCCTACCGGCACCACCCGTATCTCGTGTGACAACAACAGTGCCATCATTCTCGCCAAGGACGATGGCGTCTTTCATCCCAAGGCCAAGCACATCGACATCAAGCACCATTTCATTCGCGATCATGTTGCCGACCACTCCATCACCCTTCACTATGTTCCTACTCAAGACAACCTCGCTGACATTGGGACCAAGCCTTTGCCCCGTGACCCTTTTCTTCGCATCCGTGGTCTTCTCGGTCTCACCCATGTTTCCTCTTGAGGCACCCTACCCCGGGGACATCCTTGAGGGGGGGTGTTGTGGAAGCAAGAATGTCCCAGTGGGTACCTTTGGTCTTAGTGGTCGCGGGTTCAACTCTCATCGGCAGCACCTTCTCTTCTCATTATGCCGAACAAGACACTCCCACACTCCACCACACTCACCCACAGTGAAGTGTGGTCACAGTTGGCATTGCCATCTGTCCACCCATCCCATACTCACCTTGTTGGCTCCTATGGTGTGCCACATGCTGCCATGTAGGCTGTTGTTCCAGCCTGGCCCACATGTGCAACATGTGGCCTCAATTGCTAGCTTGGCAAGGTTGGCTAGCCCTGCCCTCAGCTTTGAGGTGCTGCAGCTAGCCTCAAGAGTTCAGCCACATAAATGTGGCTTCCCACTTCTCTAGAACTCATCCTTGGAAAGGACATTGCTCTAGCCTTTCAGGCTTGTACCATCTTCCTACTAAGGATATATTGTTCTTCTCTCATTGTGCCTCAAGTTCACCGATCCTCATTCTACACGTACGAATGCAAGAAGGAAGAACCAGACCAGCACTCTAGGATGATGATGCACCAGTATGCGAAGTGGGATGCTGCTGGTGGGCTTTTTGAAGGAAAATGTTTCATGAAACTAGGGCAGTAAGAAGAACAGAGAGATCGTGGGGCTAACCAAAGTAAGGAGAATTCAACTGAGCACCACATTTGAAGTACAGCAACCCATCCATTCAAAACAATGGAAAAAGGGGGCACTCCACGAATGACTTCATTGCATGGACACACGTATGTATCAAAGTCACCCCCTTGTGTTCTTAGCTCGCGCTCATCATGAGAAAAGCTCTCCTGTGAGAGGAAATTGACAGCACTAGACAAGAGGGCAACTGACAGGTGAGAAACATGGGACAGGCAAGCTCTCCTGTCCCAATCAGGGTGTTCAATCAAGGCATGAGCAAAACCCGTGTGCCTTAAGACTTGAAGGCTTTAAGAGTGCAGTTCTGAAACTCTCCACCCCCGTCTGGTGCGCAAGTAGTTTTGGTTCGGTTATTGCTCATGCCTACGAATGTGACCGAAGCACCTACAATGGATCCTTACATGGTTACCAGCTTTGTCAGCAAGCCAATGCCAGCGGGGATGGAGCTGGTGAGCTGGTTGTTAGCGAGGGAGCTGTCCGAGACAGAGAGATGAGGGACACGTGAGAGGCGTGCAAGGGAGATGGACAAATTGGTGAGAAGAAAGGTAGGACGGTGGTATTAGCATGAGACTATAAATGAGGAAGAATCAAACAGGTTGGCCCAGTTCAAACCTCGCCAGCATGATTTTAGAATCGCGTTCCAGTCAGCCATTGGTGGTTCGTCACAGGGTTGCCCGAGTTAGGCCGGAATCACTATCGCTGTAGTCACATTTTCCAGTGCGTTTTGTTCTCAACGAATGTTTTAGTACCGAATTGGAATAAAGATGTGGTACAAACAGAGAGGATCACTGTCTATAGAAAGATTTCCCAGCATGTTTTGTGCCGGCCCTGCCCTGTCTCGGGCCTTGCTCGTGCTGCCTAACTAGTAGTACTACAAAAATCTTTGTGGCACAAGCTGCAAAAAATATTCAAAAGAAAAAAAGAGAAAAACAATACAACGGATCTTTATTAGGACCTCTGGGAACCTGGCACCCAATTACAAAAATGTAAGAGCAGTGAGTTTTGTGATCGAGGAGGGCACAGATCCTGACAGCAAGTTGGAGTTGAGAGAGCTGTTGGTGGTGTGGTGTGGTGGGGGGTGGACACCCGGGAAGGCAAGATTCGTGTCCGTCGGTGTGTTTGCACAATGTAGAAAAGGGAATGGAGGGAGTCACGGAAAAGAAATGTAGAAATACCAGAGGTGACAAAATCGAGAGAGACAAAATAGTAGGGAGCACACATCAGCATAGGTCTCAGCCAATGGATCAGCTTGTCGGATCTGCTCGTCAGCAGGGTGAGCTGAGCCAAGAGTCCTGCTCCGCTGGCTCGACCGCTAGGTCGTCAAGACCCAGCTCGATGAGTAGGTCAGATCATTGTCGAGCCTTCAATGGCTTGTCCATGTTGTGCAGCGAGTATTTTGTCAAAGGGTGAATTCTCACCTTGGGTTGGGTCTTAGAGGTTTTGAGTTCAATTCTCAGTAGCTACACTTTCCTTCTCATTATGCTCCACATTACATGTCCACACTCCACCACTCTCCTCCACAGTGCGTGTGGTCACAGTTGGCATTGGCACCTGTCCACTCATCCCACACTCACCTTGCTAGCATCTATGGTGTGTCATATGCTGTCATGTGGGCTGTTGTTCCAACCTGGCCCACATGTGCAACATGTGGTCTCACTTGCTAGCTTGGCAAGGTTGGCTAGCCTTGCCCTCAGCATTGAGGTGCTGCAACTAGCCTCAAGAGTTTAGCCACATATATGTGGCTTCCCACTTCACTAGATACCATCCTTGGACAAGGACCTTGCTCTAGTCTTAAGACTTGTACCTTTTTTCTTACTCAGCACAATTCTTCTTCCTATCGTGCCCTAAGTTCACCGATCCATTTTGTCAGTCCTGCAGACACGCAACTATTACCTGGTCCACTCGGATCTGGCGGGTAGGTGCCAACACGGATTTGTGAGATTGCTCGTGGAAAATCCTGGCTCGACCAGCTTGCTACGACGGACGAGGCACAGGCAGCTGCCAGCACGGTCGTCGAGCGGAGTCTCCAGCTTGACTTGTCAGCCCGCCCGCTTGTCACGGCTCAAAACGAGCCAGATCGGGCCAGACTTATGGTCATGTGGCAGAAAGGAGCCTTACTTTGGAGAGGACCACTGAGACATCTCAGAGGCCTATTTGTAGGTCTCACAATAGGATTAGCCTGCATGTCTTTCCATGCACTAGGTGTCTCGATTTGCCTTGTATACATTGTACATTTACTATTGTGTCAATAAAGAGGCAGAAAGGAGCCTTACAGGGATGAGAGAGATAGTAGAGAGCCAAGTTCCGCAGGGATTGAACCGGTGAGCTGATTACTTCTCAGGGACCTGCCATTGCGTACGAATGCAAGGAAGAACCAGACCAGTAGGTGGGGTTTTACCATGGGCACTGACCTGTGTCAAACAAAGGACGGAAGCTTTTTTTCATCAAGACGTGTCTCAAGGATCATGCACTAGTATGAGGAGAGGAATGCTGGTGACTTTAACTGAGGAAAATGGATTTTGAAAGCAGGGCAGTAAGGAGAAGGCAGTGAGAATGTCTTGGAAAATGGAACTGGCCGCACCGAAGCAAGCAGAATCTTTTAAGCACCACACTTCATTGAGTCACTACCCATTCTTTCAATGCATGCATGTTTGCATTTATCATGTCACCCCCATAT